CACGATACATCTGGAGATGTGATATGTATTTTTGAGACTGCCAAGAGTAAATTTTGTGAAGTTACTATATGAAATTTGAAAGGGAAGGTTGAAATGGAAAATGACTTTAAAAATGTTTCCTGATTTTTCCTGGTGTTCTATATTAATTAATATTATAAGGAGTCTAACTCTCTGGAACTGAAGGAGAATAAAATGACATTTTTTAAATACTACTTTTTCTTAAGTTGAGAGACCAAATTCAACTTTCACTTATTAAAAATCAGATAAAGAAATTTCATGAAACTGTATAAATTTTGAAGACAGAACATGTCATGTTATCTAATCACTATAATTTTTTTTCTTATTCAATGACAAAGGCAATGAAAAATAAATCTAGTTCTGGCTATTTTGGCTCAGTGGACTAAGTGCTGGCCTGTGAATGAAAGAAAGTATCACCAGTTCAATTCCCAGTCAGGGCACATGTCTGGGTTGAGGGCCCTGTAGGGGGTGCTTGAGAGGCAGCCACACATTTATGTTTCTCTCTTTTCCCTGCTTCTCCCTCTCTCTAAAAATAAAATCTAAAAAACAAACAAAAAAACCCCTTTGCTTATTAAAAAAAATAAATTTGACTTCATTTAGCTTTTTCTCTATACTTTTTATGAAATTATTAAATTCTATACACTAATGAAGGAAAGAGTATGAAGTTGAAATGTTTTAACTAAATTTAATAATCTAAATTTCAGTAACACAGAAAGATTCCCAAACTTTGATAATGACCTCCTTTAGGTGGAACACTTGATTCAACCCAAGTTTCAATGTGCCTATAGAATATTGATAGGTCGTGGGTGTTTGTGGTAACAATTTTGATTTGTATTGCCTGTAAGTGAAAAGTCAAGGCTTACTTCTTTATATATAATTTTAAGGGTCAACTATTAGAAATAGTTATGCCAGTTAGAAACCAACTAGAAATTGGCTATAAAATCTGATAGTTAAAAAACAAAACAAAACATGTTTTGTGTACTTACCTCCAAATTACCTGGACTGAAATTACCTTTGGTTTTTGCTAAAGTTTGTAGTAGGGGTACACCATTCTACCTGGGGACGGCACAGGTGTCAATTTATATAAAAAGCCTAAAGCAGCACAGTTATTTACATGTTTCAGTGTGTTTTGCATTTGTGCACTGACTAAATCATGTTGATCTTAAAACTGGCATTTCAAAATTAATCATGAGAACTGTAATACTTAGTTCACGGTTCTCACTTGACTTTATTCTCTAAGGAGTGATTATGTGCAGTTGAAGTAGCTGTTGGCATGAACTGCTGAAGCCTGAACACTGGATACTGATTCCCTTTCTTAACCTGAAAAAGAAAGGCCCTTTTTGACTCAGAACAGTCAGGTGATCTGGGGTTTTGGGTTAGCTTTTTTTTAAAAAATTTTGGAATAAAACATGTAGTTTGGTGGTACTTTATATCCTGCATTTTAACCAGGCCCTTCTTCAGCTCACTTATAAGACAAGCAAGAGCTTCATTTGGGTCACTGCTGCCAATAACGCTTCCTTTCAATTTTTTTCCCAATACCATCTACCTCACATGTGATGTGACTAACACCCTCCGAAGGGGTCAACCACTTCAGATGTGCAGACATAATGCCCTCAATGGTTAGTTTCTAAAATCTTTTTTTTATGTTGCATTGGCACATGGTTTTCTGATCCCTTCTGTTTTGTTTTCTATTTTTTTCCATATTTTTAAAATAAAATTCTATTTTACTATTTTTAAGAATAATCAATAAAATGTGGGTCATTTCTTTTACCAGTATGGTCAAGGAATGAGTTTTTCTGTGTAGAGTTAACGAATGCACTGTAAACAAATCTTCAATATATAGAACATACTATTTTGTGTTCAGAACCTATTTCAGGACCACAAGAGGTCACAAGAGGTTTACCTGTCCCTCTCAGTCATCTGGTTCAAGTACTCACCTTCAGCTAAATGCGGCTTGATGAAGGTGCTGTGAAAATGACCAGAAGAAAATGCTCACTGTGGTCAGTGGCCTCACCACCCGGCACTGTCAGATGTCAGACTTCACAGAACCCTGCCCTGTGCTTCAGCCTACATGGTGCAGACAAAGGCAAGCACAGAGCAAACACCTGTCACGTGTGCGGCAGAATACATTTATCACATTAGGTTCATTTTAGATAGTTCATGTGACTTCAGTTTCATTCAGCAAACTCAGGATAGAGTTCTGGTAGGTAAGCTAACACAGGAAAAAGTAATTTTCAGTCTGGATAAAAACCTGAGTCCCAGCTATTCAAAATGAAATACTTTGGTAAGCCTTAAGAAAGATCATCTCTTATCTCATATGATAAACTGTAACTATTAATAGGTATTTTTAACTACTGTTTTGTCCTCCACAATCTATAATTTGGAAAATGGATTTATATTTACCAGTATGTATTTTAAGTCAACAATGATCAAAATACAGTGCTTTGTTCTAATATGATACTTACAGTCCACTTTTATGCCTTTTAAGTTATTAGTAATTAACTCTCCTTCCATTGTGTTTATCATCGTCTTTTCCCTCCAGGAACAACGCAAGCAGTTTTAGAGTATCCATTTTCAAAATAACAATTAGCACTATTTATTGCAATGCAGTGAATCAGGAATTTTTTTTAATGTTTTCACAGACAGCTATCTATAAAATGGTGAGTTTTGATAATATGGGGAAATAAAACATTGTAAGTAAAATAATGTCTTAAAATTAGTTAGTATTTGTGCATCTGGTTAATTAGAAATAAACCCTAGTGTGTAATAAAACACTATCTTGAAACTATTTCCTTGCCATCAGTGTAGAATACATTTCAGATTATGTATATATTAGTATATGGTTGGAAAAGACAAAGACTTGTTGTTTTTACTATTGATACATTTTAGCATGGTACCAGAGTTTAGAATTTTCAAGCCCTTCATTGCCCTGCTTTAAAATATACATCAGGATACAAAACAATGGCTCCTAAAATTAATTAGATTAACATTACAATTTTAAAGGGATTTTATTATTGAAGAAAATTATTGTCATGTAACTGGCAGTTTTCAGGAAAAAAAAATTAGGACTGAAAAATGTTTTTTTTCAGGACTAACCCCGTGATTTTCAACTCTGAGTATACATTATAAACAACCAGGTACTTTAGAGCCCGGTTCTGCAGTTCCAAGAATAGCTGCATTATATATACATCATCCTGGTTGGATCTGTGGTAAGCTATTTCAAGACTTCTTAAAGATCAAGGTTAGCTTCTAGGGAGATCACCATGCTAGTTTTTACTGTGTATTCCAAATAAAAAGCTAATTTCCTGTAAGCAGTTGACCAAATGCTTGAAATTTCCACTTATGGGGGACTCCGGCCCGTGAAGTCCCTGGATTTGCCACAGGTGGAAGAAAGAGTTGTTCCAGACATCATTTGCCTGTGAAGGAAAGGGGAAGGTGATTATCTCTCAAGGCAAATGAGTCCCGTGCTCAGTCGCTTTTATTGAGAGGGTTTCAGGTGGGGTATAGGTAGTCTAATTACATCAGTATCTTAAGTTTACAGAGAGTAGGTGATGTTTGAAGACGACAAATGGCAGGAACACACTGAATTGCTTGCGTCTGAGGTAAGTAAACATAATACGCCAAATGGGATTTGGGTCAGGGTCCAGGAATTATGTAAATGTTCTTCCCAGCTGTGAGCCCGTAATCTGGTATAAGATTAACAGAGCTTGAGGGAGAAACAAAGCGTGCTTCAAGGAGTATAATTTATGTCCAAGCCTGATTTCCCCTAGGGGCCCTCAGAGCTATTATAGGGTCCTGCCTATCAACCACATTACCAGTGTTCCGGCCAAGACTTATGGTGCCTCTCCCAGGCCCCAGCCTGCATGGGACTACAATTCCTGATACCACTCAAAGCGCCTCCCACTCCCAATAGATTTCTAAGTGTCTTACAGAAGTGTCTTCAGGAAAGGACACCTTCTTAATATTTTCAATATTCTAGAGAATTCCCTTCAATTTCCACACATGTTCTCTGCCAGTTAACATAGGTCAGGAAGGAATAAAGGGCTTTCTAACCTTGCCTCAGCTTTGCCTAGATCAGGCTGAAGTGTCACTCAAGGCCAAGAATCTTCCTGGAGCCACACCCTAATAGTCACCAGGCCTTTTGGATTTTGCCCTCCTACCTGCCTCCTTCTTTCAGTGCCCAGGACCACCTCTCCCTCATGGTCCCCTGCATTACTGCTCCAAAGCCTAGATGGCTCCCTTCTTGGCCTCTCATTAATACTTTTTGCTGTAGCCTGAGGATCTTACTAAAACACAAAGGCCCACAGAGCACTGTCCAGCATCACTGCTTCCAGTGGCTCTCCCTCATGCCAGAAAAGCTTATCACTGGCACAGACGACAACCCCTTCAGATCTAATCCTGTGATTCTCCACTCTAGGTGTGCATTAAAAACACCAGGCACTTCAAAGCCTGATTCCCCAGGTCTAGGGCAGGATCTGAACAGCCAGCGTAGAGAACCACTGATTTTAGCCCCTGCTGTTTGCTCCAGGCATAACTCCAGACTTCCCTGACCCATGCCATTGGGCCTGAGATGTATGTGGAGGCCTGCATGTTACTCTCATCATATTGCCTGTTCCCTTTCTGCATGTTCATACCTCTGGACATGAGGGCAGAAATATACCTCCCCTCCCCTCTGTGGAAAAGGCCAAGCCTTCTAGAACCCCATGCTCTGGGGCTGTTTCACAGTACTTACCAATTGTGGTTAGCATAATGTTGAAAGTGCCACTTCCTTTATAAACTTTTCAGGTAAGTTCAATGCCTCTAAAGTAAGATTCCATATAAAAATTAAGTTGAATCACATGAAATTGCAGATATTTTTGACTTACAAAAATAACAATTTCATGGGGCTCGACCTAATGCTTTGGAAAGGATTACAAAAGATGCTCAAAACAATTTAAAAATCAACACAAATTTTAATTGAGCAGATTTAATATCTCTAAGGTTATATTCCATAAATTATACAAATAGTGCCCATTACAGTAGTGGTTTTCAAACTTTACTGTACATACAAAGCAGCTGTGTCTTGTGAAATGGTCCCCCAGCAGGTCTGAGGTGGGGCATCTGCTCCAAGGGACCCTGGCCCTGCTGGTCCCCAGAACACACCTTGAGTAACAGCAGCACATCAGACTAATAAGAGGAGGTATAACAGAATATTTATCTTAAAAAAAAAAAATCATGTGTACAAAACACTGAAACTACCTACCAGTGGAGAAAAACAAAAACGTTTTTCTATTCTCTAGACTAAGATCTATTTTTGCTTAACTGTAAAACCTCAGTAAGTTTACAGGCTTTTATTTAACCTCAGAAATAAAGTGCTATGCTTTATCTAGGCTATATTTAAGAGCTTCTCAGGAACTTGTCTATATTTGAGAGTGAAGAAAAGAAAGTTTTTAGAGAAATTCTTCTGAAATTCTACTTCATTACAAAAAGTCTTTGTTATTTATTGTCCATTGAGTCTAACCTCCATAACAAGTTATTATAGTCCTAAAGCACAAGGCCATTTTATAGTACACTTTGGCTTCCTCAAATTACTAAGAACTTGTACTGGGTTGGCCAAAAAGGCTGTTTAGATTTTTCCATAAAGTAAAAGACACATTTTTCATTTTCACCAATACCTTTACTGATTTGGGTATTTTGAGTGTGTTGGCTATCTCCCCACATGGTGTAACGTTCATTATTCTCAATTAATGTCTCAATTTGGTATCAACTTCAACCAGTCTACCCAACCATGGAGCATCATCCAATGAGATATCTCCAGCACAAAACTTTGCAAGCCACTTTTGACACAGTCCATCAGTCAAAGCACCTTCTCAATACACCATACAAATCTTTTTTTGCATTTCAGTTGTGTTTTTACCTTTCTTGAAATAATAAATCATAATATGCTGAAATGTTGCTTATTTTCTTCCATTTTCAGTATTAAAATGGCTATACAAAAATTTACCAATTTTGATTTTTTTTTAAATGCATAGTGTTACAATATAATCTAACAAAATTGTTTTGAATGAAGTTAAATGCAACTAAGTGCTATTAGGGTCATCTTACAAAAACCATACTAACTTTTTAGCCAACTCAAAAGTTCAGAATTATGACACAATAAAGTTTATATTTTTCTTGTAGATAAAGGACAATCTTCAAATTTCCAACTGATTCATTTTCATATTTGAGTTTACCCCATATCCAACTTCTAAAACTACAGAAATATTTTTTTCTGCTTAAGAAGAGTATTTAAGTTATAAAAAAGTAGTGTGTTAAAATATTATTTACAATTATATGTATATTAGGGTGAAAGCAGGAATAATATCCTACTTGGCTAATTAAGAAGATTGACAGGAATGTGTACTTTGGTAGTTTGTGGGAGGAAAAGACAGCGAGCTTCTAAATAATTTTTATTAATAACTGACGTTATGCCAATAGTCAGGATGTGCCTTATAAATAATGCCTTGTGCAAGCCTGTGCTAACCTCATTCTGGGCCCCTCTCTCCTTGGGCACTAATTTTGGAATGGCAGCTCAGTTTAGACCCAGGAAAAGATCTGCCAAAATGTGTCCTTGTAGAACAACATAGCTCTTTTGTGCACAGGTGTAAAATAAAGAAAATGATTTTCAACACAAGACACTCTAGAATTAAGTTCATCTGGTAAGAATGATACTTGACACAATCTTATTCTATATAAAATGTTATGGGGTATGATGCTAGCAGCTGGGGAAAGTGTAACATATTGTGATTACATGATTTTAACAGACAGTCCAAATTGAGTTAGCTACCAATAAAACCACCAAATCTCTCTCTGGGTTTTGCTCTAATCAAACTCTTTCTTTAATCCCATGAGAAACTGCAAGGGATACTTACTAAATACCACAGATATCTGGCCTCACCTAGGCGCATGGAATCAGTCTCCGGGGTGAGACTGAGCATCTGATTTTTAACCAGGTCTCTGGGTGGAACTAATATTCATAACCTTGTTATGACGTGAGAAAGTGACAAATTAGCTTTAATAAAGCAGCTTCTTCAATCTCTAGGACTTTGACAGTAGAAAAGCTTCCTCTTCACTTATATGATTGAAAGAAACCTGTATCCCAGCTGATTAGCACTAATATTACCCTATTTTTATTTAGAAGGAAAATCCTTGAGTCTCCTCACTTGTTGCACATACTGTGTTCTCGTATGCCATCACTATTTTCTTATCCTGTGGCTGGTAGCTCTTTTACCCTTGATTTAACCTCACTGACCCACATGGGAAAAAAAGACTTTTAGGTATATGTTTAATACATTCCCCTTTGGCAAGGCTCTGACTTCTGATCATCCACAGGCCTAAATGCAGAGCTGAAGGCTGACCTGGATGAACTTGAGTGGAAATAACATCTTTTCACTTAGATCACCCACCCTTTCCAAAACACCCTTCTCACATGGCCTCTGCCCGTCATTCACCACCTCAGATTTTGCTTCTTGGTGTTGTCCAAATTCATTCTATTCACTTTTTAATCTATCAGTCCTATCACCATCATAGTGAAGTTTGTTTCGTGACATTATGAAAATAGCCACCAAGGCTAATGCAGCTCCCAGGCTGGGGGGACCACAAGGGCTGACTTCCTGGGCAAGTCCAGAGAGGATGGGGGCCATGACCCTGCCCACTGCCGTCACTGACTGCCCCAAGCCTATAAGGGTGCCCCTGGCCTGAGCCCCACCCACAGTTAGCTGGAGGTCTGTGATGCAAGTCCTGCCAATGGCCGTGGAGAAGGCCAGGAGTGTGGAGGAGAAAACAACAGTTCCCATGGTGGGGGCCACGGAATACAGCAACAGGAGCAGGAAGGTGAGCATACTGGAGTGCCGCAGGACCTTGTGGGAGTTGTGCCTGTACAGACGTAGGATGGGCCCCAGGACCAAGCCAGACAGGGCCCCCAGGGCGCTGCTGTAACTGATGAGGTAGCCTGTCACCCTGGGCCTCACCCCAAAACGCTCCTCAAGCGCCAGGACAAAATTACTATAGTACAGCAGAACTGCCATGGCCATTAGCAAGCGTACTAGAAATATGTCCCACATTTCAGAAAATATCAGGCTCTTCATGTCCTGCAGTGCAGATATGACTTCCATCCAGTGCAGCCTAGGGGTCTTCTCACTCACCATGTTCCCAAGGGTAGGGCTTGCCTCCTGAACTTCATGGTCTGTCTTTCCCAAAGGTGCACAGTTCTTACCCAACCGTAGACTATTCTTTGTACTACTGACTTTTATTTCACTCCATGGAAACAGCGAAACAAGACCTGTTAAAATGGCACCATGTGTTAAAGCAAGCTAAATTCACTGAATTCATAGAGCACTACCACGGGGGATAAGAAATAACTAGTATTAGATTTTTATTCTGTATTTTTGTATTGGCAGAGTTGCTAGTCTCTATTTTTGAATCCAGTTTTTAACCATTTCCATGGCTATGTCTACTCCATTTCTGTATGAGAGTTCTGCAATTCACCTAAGAAAAAAACCTATAGCTACATAATACTCATTATTTCTCCCCCAGCTCAAGAGCCTATGAGAGTTTCCTATATCCCATCATTTCATATCTAAATTCTTAAGACTTTACATTTAAATTTCCCCCTCATGACTTTGCTAATTTTCTGACTATCCACTATCTGTCTACCCATACCCATCCACATTCATCATCCATCCAAACATTAAATATTCATGCTAAATGCTGAATCCTGTGCTAGACATAAGAGAATATTAACAAGTTAAGACGAGGGCTATACAACTCCTATCCCTAAGATACTTAAACCTAAGAGGGGGTGAGGACATGCAAACAGGCAATTAGGTTCCAGGGTAAGCACTATGCTAGGGAAGCACAAGATGCTTTGAAGACAGCCAGACTTGGCATGAAGGGCGAGGGAGTGGTGGTAGCTAGGGGTAGCTTGACACCAATGACCAGTCAGGAAGCATCTGCATGCATCTGAACTTTTACAGGTCTCCTGTTGAAACCTCTGGAGGTGCCATTCTCATCAACCATGACATACACTTTACCCAACAGCTCATACCCCTGTTCAGATAATCCCACCTCTGCATTCATGTGACTGGCACATACCTGCCTCAGTTGTTTTATTGACCCCATACCACCCAAGCAAGTAGAATGACCTCTTGCCAATTCATGTCCCAAACTTTCTTAAAAGTAAACAACAGCTTGCCCTCCCAGGACATTTTTCCTGACACATCTCTGTGTGGTTTTTCAGTCTTCCAGCACTGAAGTTCCACCTGGACCTGTGGTTGGCCAGTCATTGCTGCTTCATGCTGTTTTATGACAGAAAATTAATCACATGAGAAAGCAGACCTGGACTTTACATTTGCTCTTATCCTGAAAGGGCCCTTGGTATTTCAAAAAAAAAAAAAAAAAAAAAAAGTGAAAGGACTGTCGCTTATGGATAAAAAGCAGAATTAAAATAATAGTAAAAATGATAATGGTGACAACAACTGACATTAATTGAGTGTTTACCATATGCACAGCAGTGGGATAAACTGCTTATATGCAAAACCTCTCATAGTTCTCATAACAAGTCTATGAGTTTTGTTACTCCATTTTATAGAAGAGGAAACAGAGACAGCTCAACTACAGCCCACACTGAGAAGTGGCAGAGCAGGGATTTGAAGCCAAGTCTGTCAGACTAGTGTTTGAGTTCTTAACCATGAAAAAGACTAATCAGTGATAAAAAGATATGAAAGTGGCAGATCAAAGCAAGGACATAACCTGAAAGGGTAGATAGGTTGGGAAAACAGCCGTTGTTATTGAGGAGAAAGGTATGACAAAATGGACAGAGGAAACAGCCTTATACTGTGCTCATTGCACTGGCAGGCCCACGGCTCTGAGACTCCGCCAGCTGTCCAGCCCCAATCCCTCTCCCGCTCCTCCCCTGCCAGTCTCTGCATCTGCCTCAGCTTGACAACCCCATAGCTCTAAAGTGGGAAAAATAAATCCCTATTACTTCAAGCAACTGGGATTGAGAATATTTGCGGCTGAGTGTATTCCTAACTCAGATCCATTCATATACTTACTTAGGTTAGGGAAAAATATTAAAAAGCACTATTACTGCAGAATCTAAAATAGAGCTTGATATTCATGTTCTTTGTTTAAACACTGACGTCTAACATCAAGTGATCACATTTATGTACCTTCCTTTATATGGGAAGGTACCTGGTTATATCAACCAGTCATTTTCTTTCCTTTAATATTTTATTTTTAGAGAGAGGGGAAGGGAAGGAGAGACAGAAACATTGATGTGTGAGGGAAACATTGATTGGCTGCCTCTCTCATGCCCCCAACCAAGGACCTGGCCCGCAACCCAGGCATGTGCCCTAACTGGGAATCAAACTGGCAACCTTTTGGTCTATGGGACAGTGCCCAACTCACTGAGCCACACCAGTCAGGGCGAAGCCATTTTCTCTAGAGTCACTCTGATACATCAGACCTCTCCTCTTGGCTAAAGTTAAACTTGTGGTAGAAAATCATACAGTATTACTCCAAGGACTCATGAACTTTGCTCCTTGAGTCTGATATCCCACCCCAGCATGGAATTCATCACTCAGCCAGAAGCCTTGAATATGAAGATTCAAAAAGTTGTAGTCAAATGCAGTATCATTAAATTTAGGAAAACTGAGCAGAATAGATCCTATTAATAAAGTTGTTTACCTAAGGGTTCGCCATGCACCAATCTCTGGGCAAAGAGGTTCAATTCTCTTTGCTTTATGCAACTGGCCCTTCATTCAAGGAGCTCACAGTCCTATATGTATTCTTTATTTACTGAATTTTTTTTTTTTTTGAGGAAGAAAGAGACAGGGAAAGAAAAACATCAATTTGTTGTTCCACTTACTTATGCATTAATCAGTTGCTGCTTCTACGTACCCTGACCAGGGATCAAACCCACAACCTTGGCATATCAGAACAATTCTAACCAACTGAGCTACCTGGCTGGGTTCCAGTGTATTCTTTCATTTATCAAATAGTATTGAACACTGGCTATATATGCCTGGCCTCTTTTGGGCAGGGGTGATAGCAGTGAGAAAATCTGAACCTTTGAGGTTTACTCTCTAATTGTGTGAGTTGGAGGGAAGAGAGAAAACACATTAATGATATAATTTCAAAAGAGCTATGGAAAAATACAGTTATTTTAGACAGAATGATCAAAGAAGGCCCCTCTAAGGAAGCAAACATTTGAGACTTGAATGGTAAGAAGAGCCAGTAAAGAAATGTGGGAAGAATTTTGCAGGTAGAAGAAGGAACAAATTACAGTGCCCTCCTGTGACAATAAGCCTGGCAAGTGTGAGGTGGACCAGGAAACCAATGTGTTTCCAGGCACATGAAGGAAAGCAGAGAGAGGGGAGGGGCCAGCCGAACACTGTGCAGGCTTTGAGACAAGCACGTGCTTTAGTGTGACAGGCACCCACTAGGAGCGCTGCAGCAGTGGCTTATGTGGTCTTCCATTTTTGAATAAGAGACTGCCTATTGTTAGAAAAACAAATGATAAGGAGATAAAAGTAAATTGGACAGTATGAATGAATAAACCAAACAACCTTCTCATGATTAAATGGCAACTTACCAGCATTGAGAACGAAGACAGAAAAACAGATGAAGCATGTGAGAGAAAATCCACCATCTAGTTCAATAAGATAGCCACCGACCATGGGGCCCAAGATAAAGCCCACACTAGATGCTGTATTTAACTGTCCAATGACTAATGGTCGTTCCTTCTCTGGAACCAGATCAGAAAGCAAAGCCCTTGAAATGGAGAGTGTATGTTTAAAAATACCTGCAAGGAGATAAGAAACACGTTCAGTAACATTTTCCAGATTAAAAGCATCTTGCTTGTCATCCAGCACTTCACCTCTATCCCTGATGGAGTGCTAATCCATTTTCTTTGAACCTCTAAGGCCAGCAGGTTCCATGAACCATGAATGGACTCCTGGTCTAGCCCTACCACCCTGGTTGGTCACCCTGTCTCTGGTAATCAAGCTCCTGCATCCTCAGCTTGCCCACATCTCATCATGACGTCCCAGTGTCTCCAGTTTTCTCTGCTATCGAAGTCCAATTCATGGTGGTTTCTATACAGAAATTTATCATTATCATTCATAAACTCAGGGAACATACATTTTCTGCGTGCCTACTATAGGTCCAACATAGATCTTGACCCTGGGCAATGCAAGGAAGGAGGAAGGGGAAAAAAGACAGAAAACCCTGTCCTCTCAGAGCTGGCACGTCTGTATGAAGGTGATAATTACTATGGAAAGAAACAGAGCAGGGAAGAAGGACAAGGAGCAAGTACAAATATAAAACTATTCAGTATGATGACATCGTAGTCATCTAACCAATACGGCTGATTTTCTACTAGTGAGAGGCTTGTGAAATTACTGACTAAACAAATTGAAAACTGAGATATGACTTACGAAGAGATTAAAGTGTATATAACAACTTTATATTCCTCATACTTCTGCTGATAAATTTGGCTTCTATGCATCAAACAAACACACTCAAACTGTTGAATTCTGGTCAGATATGTGCCTGTTATTTTGACGAAGGCATAGTAGGCCTTACTAATAAATGCTGTTGGCAGGTCTGTCTCATTGTTTCTAACTACGATGGAACATAATCATTTCCAGTGATCTCCTTAAAGGAAGCATTGCTCTGCATTATCAGTACTCCAACCAGATTATTTTATATTAACATTATAATCCTCCACATAAATCTCCACCCATTTTGTAACAAATATAAGTTCTATTTATCTCTCATCTGTTTCTTTTGAATTATGAATAGCCTTACCACTGATTGGCAGAGTATATTCTAGAGCAGAAGGGCAACCTGCTCCCCAAACCAAGAATGTAAAATGATCTGGACACCAAGTGCATGTGAAACAGCTATCAGTTGAATTTTTGTGGTTGTGGGGCTTGTTATGATGATTAACCACATTTAAAGCAAAGGTCTTTGTAAACCATTTTTTTAAGTAAACAATAACAAGAAGCATGGATTTTGGAGCGTGAACACAAAAGACTTGTCCACCAGCGTAGCAAAAGTTTACAGGGCTCTAATGAATAAAGTGAGAAAGGAACATAAACTCCAGGGCTCTGACACTAAGAAAAGATGAGAGGGAGTAAGAGCTTCCCCAGTAACTACCTACCAACCTCACCATACAGCATTCACAGGTAGTGTTTCAAAGATGGAGAAATATTCTAATGAATGGACAAAATAAAAGCTATTTTAAAAATGGTAAAAACATTCAAGGGTGGTCTAAGACAAAATTTAACCACAAGCCACTAACACATAATCCTAGCATCCTCCACAAAGTCACAAGTAGCTTTACAGAAGGCCACAGGAAAGCTACAGCAATTTGTGTCAATTTGAAGTCAGGAATCCCAATTTCAAAACCATAGGCTCACTGAGGGACCACATAGTACCCACAGTGCTGGTCAAAGTCATTTAACAAATTCTTTGTGACTTCCTGCAGAGACAGACCAGAAGGAAGGAGACAGACCCTGCTGTAGTAGCAGAGCTATGCATATGAGGATGCCGGGCTCTAGCAAGTCCAAGGTTTGAAGCTCTGGACAAGTCAGCCGAGCTTAATTGATGCTGTGTGCTCAACAGACAGTGCCTGCTGGTTACAGGTCTAATTTGTATTGTCATTGTGCCCTTTTTACATAAGTTCTAATCAAGAGGTATTGAAGAGCAGGACATTTATTAAAGAAGATGCAAGATATAAGAAACATTGTACATAGAACAATGATGCCATAGTCCCTTTCAAAGTAGTCAACTTGAGACCTCACACAGTTCTCCCAGTCTCTTCTGCTGCTCAAAACACTCTGCAAAATCCTTTGTTGGAATTGCTATCAGCTGTCCCATCTCGTATTTTCCTAAAACTCATAGATAGTTTGAAATATCTTCCCTTTCAAAGGTGATTCTAGTTTTGGGAAAAGCTTTAAGTTGCAAGGCACCAAATCTGCACATTGGAAGTGACTTAAATCAAGTCATTAGCAATTGCAGCACTATGTTCCTTCTGCTCTGGTAGCAGAAGCTGCAAGAATGAATCTTGGACACAGCAGTTTTTTGAATATCCAGATCAGCTTCTAGTTCTCACAATGTTAGTCGCTGATCTTTGTTTATTGCACCCTGTACACATATACCATTCTCAGGTGGTCTGCTTGTTGCAGGCGTTGGAGAAGGTGGATCTCTTTCAACAGATTCTTGACCATCTTTGAAGTGTTCGTGCCACAGTTTTATTTGTGCTGTACTCCTTGCATTGTCCCCAAAAGCCTTCTGAATAATCCAAATAGTTTCCGCAGAGGAATGTTCAAGCTTAACGCAAAATATGATGCAGGTTCGTTGCTGTACTCATTCATTTTGAATGTGATGGAGACATAGTACACATGCTCACTGAACGGCATCTACCAATCCCACTGACTAGTACAGTGAAGTTGTCATTGTTCATGCATGCACATTCCAGTCCACTCTCCTTGGCTGCCAGGTTCCATTGATATTGCGCAAACTGTTCTTGTTTTATTAACAATGGCTGGACTTTTTCCAGACAGACCTCATACATATACATGTACGTGTAGATATACACACATATATACATATACACACATATATACACACACATATATACATACATATATAAAAAACTTATTTTGAAGGAAAATACACAGAGAGACAAGAACTCACCCACAGGGACTCTGGCGAGAGCAAACAAGAATACATTGGTAGATGCTCCGAGAATAAGATAACCCAGAGCACTGAAGAGAATGCACACCAGCAAGGAAAACCGCCTTCCAACCACATCACTCCAGCAGCCCTGAGGAAGCAAGGAACACAAAAAGTGAGTCCTTTGATTCACTTTTATAAAATCACCACCATGGAAATACTGCACTGCCCCCTCCAAATGCAAGCCAGGGGAAAATAGCAGGGAATTTAGGCTAAGATCCTTAGATGCTCAATTCTATTATGCCATTCATCAGAGTAAATTATTTTCTCTGGTCTTCCACAATTTGGGTGGGAAAATACAACATGGTTTGCTTTATCCAAAAAAACCTATGATATCAAAGAAAGCATCTGTGATTATCTAGTAGCCAAGAATGGCTGGAGAAATGGTGAAGTATAATTTTTAAAGCTTCATTAAAAAAATTATTTATTCTCAGAGAGAGTAAGGGAGAGGAGAGACAAAACATTGATGTGTTTTCTCTCTCATGTGCCTGAACCAGGGACTAGGCATACAACCCAGGCAGGCACCCTGACCAGGAATTGAACCAGTGACCTTTTGCTTTGCAGGACAATGCCCAACCAATTGAGTCACACATGGCAGAGTTAAAGCCTTGTTTTAATCTTCATTATCACTTTATGCATCTCAACTCCTCAGTAACCATATTTAGTTTAGAAATTTAGAAAATACTGAAAAAAATGAATATAGAAATACTGCATAATCCCCAAATCTACAAATGATATTCTAACAAAATATAATGTATTTTGTAACTTGTTTTTCTACTTACCAACAGATTTCGAACATCATTCCACATCATTAAAAATTTGCTTTTTTTTTCTGTAACAGTGGCTATTATTTACAATCATGATCACCATGGATTTTATTATTAATTTTGTTACTCCAATAGATTAAAGTTTCCCATTACTCCGATGTGAATTTCTTTGATTACTTTTGAGATGCAACATTTCTCACACCATTTTTTTCTTTTCGTTTTATTGATATAAGTGACTTATAGCACTCTATAAGTTTAAGGTCTACAGAATGACCTGACTTAAATATACTGCAAAATTACCACAATAAATATAATAAACCTCCATCATCTCATATAGATATAAATTAAAAAAAAAAAAAACCTCTCCTTGTCATAAGAACTTTTAGAATTTACTCTTAACAACTTTCAAATACATTCGGCAGTGTTACCTATAGTCACAATGTATATTACATCCCTGGTACTTTCTTATCACGTAACTGGACGTTTACACATTTTGAACACCTTCACTCAATTTGCTTATCCCTGCCTCTAATAACTACAAATATAATTTTCTTCTTAAAAAAAATCATTAAAAAATGAATGTCCTTTAGATTTAATTTTTAAAGAGAGGAAGAAATATCAATGTATGATTGCCTCTCAAACACCCACTACTGGGGGCATGACCCGCAATGCAGGCATGTGCCCTGTCTGGGAATCGAACCAGTGACCCTTTGGTTCACAGTCTGGCACTCAATCCACTGAACCACACTGGCCAGGGACTGAATGTTGGTTTTTAAATTCCACATTATAAGTGAGACCATGCAGCTTTGTCTTCCTTTGACTTACTCTACTTAGCATAATGCCCTTAGATTCATCTGTGTGTGTGTGTGTGTGTGTGTGTGTGTGTGTGTGTGTGTGTATGAAATTTTCTTTAACCATTCATCTCTTGATGGACACAAGTTGTTTCCATTTCTTGGCTATGGTAAAAAATGCTGCATTGAACACGGGGGTGCAGGGATTGGTTTTGACACGGTGATTTTATTTCCTTTGGATATATAACCACAAAAAAAACTGCTGGATCATATGCTAGTTCTATTTTTAATTCTTCGAGGAACTTTCATGCTGTCTCTCACAGCTGTACCAATTTGCATTCCCACAAACAGTCCACAAGGGTCCCCTTTTATCCACAGCCTTGCCATCATTTCTCTCATGTTTTAAGTGATAGCCATTCTAACAGGTGTAAGGTGGTATCTCATTGTCATTTTGACTTTCGTTTCCCTAGTGATTAGTGACATTGAGCAAATTTACTCTTTATTCAGGTTGACAATTTTTTTACTTGGGTTATTTTTTTTTCTGCTACTCAGTTCTATTTTGCATATTAATCCTTATTAGATAATATCATCTGCAAGTATTTTTCTCCGTTCTAGAGTTGCCTTTCCATTCACAGTTTGTTTTTGTTGGTTTTTTTTTTTTGCTGTGTAGAGGTTAGTTTGATGTAGTATTATTTTTAATTTTTTATTTGTGCTTTGGGTATCATATCTCAAAAAGTCATTGTCTTTCTTTCATGTTTTTTACCTAGTTTTGTAGTTTCTGGCCTTACATTGAAGTCCATGATTATAATTTCCCTATGTGGGAAATCTCAGAGCCTGCCTAACATGGGCTCCCTTCTGAACCACTTTTGTGGCAAGGAAGGAGCTTTGGTAACATCAGATGTGGTCCACGGTAAAGATGGCCCAGGGTGAAGTTTGCCCGGTGGGTGACTAGCTGAGTACCCCAGTGCCTCTGTATGGAAGTGTAAATGTGAGGCACACAGAAAGGAAAGAGAGCCTACAGGGAGCAGAAGTGGGGAGGCAAGGAGGAAAGACCTAAGCAAAAGGACAGAGGAAGGTGGTGGTATGGCTGCATGGAATCCAGGTGGTGGAGTGGAGAAGACTGCAGATATCTCAGGAAATAAACAGCTACCTTCCTAGCTCGTTCTTTACTTAAGAATTTTCAGTACTCCATAGCAACAGCTCAGTCAAAACCTCCCTTGCAAGCTGAAAATTCTGGCCTTCAAAGATGCTGCCAGAAGTCACTGGTGAGGCTTCTGAAAAAATTTTTAGAGGTGGGGAAGGGTACTGGCAAACAATCTTCTCCTTTTCCTCCTTTCCTGTATCCTGCTGAGAACATTCCCATGATTCAGGAAGTTGAGCAGCTGTCCAGCTGAGGATGGCTAAGCAGGATGAGGAAGGAGGTTGGTCTTTAGCAGCACCTAAGGCTCCTGGAAAGCCTCAGCAGGCAACTGCCCATTATCCTCTTTACACATTGGAAGTGCTTTGTAGATGACACAAACCTGATGGAAATGCCCAGACCAACTACAGAGCCTCAACATGGAGCCATTTTATTTACTGAGTTTCTGGGTAATGCTCTGGTTGAAAAAAGTTATCAAAATAAAAATCCCTAAACACTATCATAGAAACAGAGTAGTGTGAGGAAGTCAACAACAGGATATCCTGTGGTATTTTCCTGGTTTGGCTAGAAGGTCATCAATATGGCATTCTACTTCTTCATTCTTCAATGATGCTCAATGACTTTCTCCACCCTCTCTAATTAACCATGTCATCTTACCCTGCCTCTCTGCCTTGCCAAAAGCCAGCCACTTCTGTTCATGTAACTTTCTCATTTTTACAGGTGTTTATATTTTTTTTATCATTTCCTAAGCTTTTTTTAATTGTTGTTCAAATACAGTTGTCTCCATTCTCCCCTCATCACTCCATCCTTCCCAACCCATCCCCATCTCTCACCTTTGATCCTATCTCCCTTTAGAAGTCCATGTGTCCTTTATACATGTTCCTGGATGACCGCCCCCCTTTTGTCCGACATTATCCCCTTCCCCCTCCCATCTGGTTACTGTCAGTTTGTTCTTTATTTCAATGTCTTGTTGCATATTGCTTGCTTGTTTTGGTTATTAGGTTCCACTTATAGGTGAGATCATACAGTATTTGTCTTTAACCACCTACCTTATTTCACTTAGCACAATGCTCTTCAGATCCACCTGTTATTGCAAAGGGCAGGAGTTCTTTCTTTCTGCTGCGTAATATTCCACTGTGCAAATGTACCATAGTTTTTTGATCCACTCACTTATTGATGGGCACTTAGGTCGCTTCCAACATTTGGCTATTATAAATTGTGTTACTATGAATATTGGAGTGCCTAGGTTCTTTTGAATTGGTGTTTTGGGATTCTTAGGGTATAATCTCAGCAGGGGAATCAACAGCTCAAAAGACAGTTCTATTTTTAGTTTTCTGAGGAAATTCCACACTGTTTTCCACAGTGGTTGTACAAGTCTGCATTCCCAACAACAAAGTACTAGGGTTCCCTTTTCTCCACAACCTTGCGTTATTGATTTGTTTATGATGACCATTCTGACCGGCGTGAACTGGTATCTCACTGCAGTTTTAATTTGCATTTCTCTGATGGCTAGTGATGTTGAGCATCCTTTTATATGTCTCTGGGCCCTGTGTATGCTTTCCTTGGAGAAGTGTCTGTTAGGGTACTTTGCCCATTTTTTAATTGGGTTGTCTGTCTTCCTGGTGTGGAGTCAAGTGAGTTCTTTACATATTTTGGGGATCAAACCCTTGTCTGAGGTATCATTGGCAAATATATTTTCCCATACAGTTGGGCCCTTTTCATTTTGCTGATGTGTTCTTTAGCCATGCAGAAGCTTCTTATTTTGATGAAGACCCATTTGTTTATTCTTCCCTTTATGTCCTTTGCTCTAAGGGACATATTGGTGAAAACATTGGTGCATGGAATATCTGAGCATTTCCTGCCTATGTTCTACTCTAGGGGTTTCATGGTGTTGCAACTTAAGTTTGTCTTTAATTCAACTTCAGTTTACTTTTGTGTCTTGTGTAAGCTGGTGGTCGTTTCATTTTTGTGGATGAAGCTTTCCAGATCTCCCAACACCATCTGTGGAAGACACTATTTTTACTTTATTTTGTGCTTCTGCCCCCTTTATTGAATATTAATTGACCATAGAGACATGGGATTAGTTCTGGCCTTTCTATTCTGTTCCATTGATCTATGTGTCTCTTCTTATGTGAGTACCAGACTGTTTTAATTGTCGTGGCCTTGTGATATAGTTTGATATCAGGTATTGTGATCCCTCCTACTTTGTTCTTTCTCAAAATTGCTGTGGATATGCAGGGTCGTTGATGGTTCCATATAAATTTTTTAAATGTTTGTTCCATACCTGTGAAATATGTCATTGGTATTTCAATAAGGATTGTGTTGAATCTATAAATTGCTTTGGGTAGTATGGACATTTGAATGACGTTAATAATTCTTCCAAACCATGAACATG